TTACTGCTCTAGTTCTTTGTTTTGGAGCTATATGTTACTGTCTTTTAAAACAAAATGAGAAATGTAACCCCAGTAGTGCAGTTTTTCATATCACAGTGAAATTATTTTGTGGAGTTCATTCTTACATTTAATCCTGAACAGCACTTCTTTCCCCTGAACCTTTCTCTATTATTGTTAATCTCTTTGCCTGCAACATTAAGCTTAATGATAAAGAAAATGAATATTAAGAGGAAGGTTATTACATGTTAAATGGAGTTACACACCTGTGGACTAGATTCTACATGACCACCGAAAATCCAGTTCAACTGATATTTACTTTGGACTTTTGAGGAAGCAATAACAGCTCCATGGAAAGTAGAGCTGACAACCATGGCAGAAAAGGAGAAGCTGGTGAATGGACTGGCTCCTCCTCCTCCTCCAGAGCAAGGAGAGGCCAGGATTGCCCACAAGTGCTCCATTCAGTGGCTCCTTCTGAGGACCATCTGTAAGCAGTTTTAGATGTATTTTAGTATTGCGGGAAAGTCAGTTTGCCTTTGCCATGGTTCAGTGCCTTCAAATGGACATTGGGTTTGCAGGACAGGAAGACCTCCAAGGTCCCTTCCAACTTGTTATTCTGTTACTTTCTCTCTTAAATGCCTTAACTTTGTTTACTGATGGCTTTTTGGTGTTAAGAACCTTCACAAGGCAAGTTTCATTAAACTGGGTGAGTTCCTTTATCCTTCATGAATGACGTTATGTGAAATCTTAAGGACTTTAACAAGATTTTTTTAAATTTTTGAATAAACAGCAAAAGTGTGATTACTGTATACTGTATAATGTTGATTTTGGAAAATTATAAGATTAAAACACCAGATGGACTTGTTTAAAAGTTTATAAAAAGTATATGAAGAGTTTGAAACTAAGTGTAAGAAATCCTAGTGTGGGAAAATGTTATTGATGAGGGAAAAAACAACAACACGTGATAAGAGACTTTGGACACTGACCAGAGAGAGCCAGAGAGAACTAAAGATTACAATGAAAAGAGAAAAGACTTATTAAAATAATGGAGCAATATTATTTGAATGTAGGATTCAAGGATAGTTGGGAACAATGCACTCAGAACTTACTCTTAAGGTTGCTATTATAAAAATGGATTTTAAAGGGGCTATAGAAGAGGAACAGATTTTATTGGACAAAATAGAGGCTGAGTGCTGATTTGAATGGTTCCGAAAGTGGATTTACAAATGCCGGACTGCAAGAATAATTTGGAAAAAGATGCCATACTGAATTTACAAATGAAATTGGCTGATATCTTTAATTTAATGGGACATATAACTAAATATGAAGAGTAATAACTTTCTGGTAACTTGCAAAGTTCTTGGGTAACTTTCCTATATTGGATTTACAAAAGAGACAAGTTATACTAATGAAGGAATTTCTGAGGAGACAAGAAATGATAAGAAATCAGTTGGTGGGACATCATTTGAAAGGATTAAAAATCCAGATTTTAAAAAATAAATGGAAGAAATATAAGACTTAGTTGATCAAGTTTAAAATATATACATTGTTTCAGATTAATTGATTTTTTTTTACTAGGACCAAATGACAAAACTTTAAAGATTTGTTTATAGATAGTAGATGAGAAAAGATTTCTTTTGTTACATTTTTAGAGATAATGGTAAGTTACTGTGGTAAAAGAATGTACAATTCACTTATTTGATTAAAAAAGTAAAGGAGTTCCTGTGGATTTTACTCCACTAGTTGTTGCCAACTATCGGGGATGGGTACTCATCTCTGTTTCAAGGCCGTTGAGCCAGGGCTGTCCGAAGATATTTCCACTTTCATGTGAATAGCATGAGATCATGGAGCACTGTTAATTATTTCATTAAGGTTAAAATATTTATTTTATTTATTCCTGGTAGCTCTTAATTGACTTTTGCTGATTGGGACTGAATGACAAGATTTGATAATTTGTCTTTTCATAAGAGATGAGATAAGGAGAGAGGAGAGCTTTTATTAAAATATCAGTGAAGGCAATAAATTACCGAAGCTGCCTATACTTGTATGGAGGGTGGGGAGAGTCATTTCTTTATGTATACTTTCTATTTTGTTTTACTCTGTTTTTTCTTTTCTGTGTACTTTTTATTTTTTATGTTCTTATTTTGCATTATTTATTTTTATATTTGTAAATTTTAATAAAAATTATTATAAAAAAGCTAATGGCATTGACTTTGAAAACCATCGCTTCAGTAAATACAGACCTAATTTAGCTTACAATCCACGTTCAGTTCTACTGTTAGGAAATAGTGGTTTAAGTGTAGTGAAGCTGTCTTATGAGCGCATTCATTTCTTTCCCTCAAAATTGAAAGCTCAACTGAAAATAGAAAAATCAAAAACACATTTTTTATCTACTGAACCAATAATTTTTGGACATAATTTGGGCAGGAAGCAATTGAAATTGTGATTGTGTTTTATGGTTGTAATTTTCTGAACAATGTTCATTAATAGTGGTTACACTGCAGTCTTTGATGTGCGTTATGCATCTTAGTTCTAATGGATGGAATACAAATTTTATTTTATTTATTTATAAAATTTATTGGCTGCCCATCTTACCATAGAGTAACGCTGAGGGGCTTACAATTATATTTAGTTAAAAGTTAAAAAGTTAAAATCAAATCTTAAAACCAAAGACATATGGGGAGGGTCTCCTGCTTGGGCGGGGGATTGGACTAGATGATCTACAAGGTACCTTCCAATTATCTGTTATGGGGAGGGCAGGGGCAGAGGGGGGGGGAGTTTAATCTGTTATTAATCAACCACCTCCATTGCGCTGATTCCCCCACTGGGGACCTTGGCTATCTGGCATACCCACATCTTTAGGCCCTTAAAAAGTAGGGCTAAGGGTATAAAATGGCATAAAAAATATTAGGATGAAGTATAATTTATGAAAATGCACTAGATCAACTGAGACTGTGTGCGGTTTCTTAATTTAGAAGATTGGAGTCATCAAATGGCTTTTAGTGTGATATGTATAGGGTTCTTATAACGTTATGGAATTCATTTACCTCGTATCAAAAAAAGGTTCACAATGGAATTTAGGAAATTTGGAGCATTTTCTTTAACCCCACATTAATTTGAATAGCAAATTTAAATGGACAGCAATGTCCATCACTTATTTTTATGATTCCATTAACATGCCATAATGTAGCTCTCACTTTGCTGGATATTTTCCTTGCCTTATTAAATCTTCCCATTTTTAAAATACATTTAAGAGCAAGATGTTTTAAGAAATAGTTTTGTTTTTATACATATACTGTAGTATTTAGATTTGCTTGGTGGAGAGAACATTACTCTGTGTGTGTGTGTATGACTGTAGCCACAACTTAATTTAGAATCCTTGAGATTTAGTTGTGAAATGTTTAAAAAATGGTGGTGGTTGATGTAAAACTGATTTGTTCATTATTAGGAAACTTTAAAAAGGGGGTTGTCTGCTTTCAATGGTCGCAAAACTCTATTTTATCAATGAGAGATGGGCATTTATATCTACTAAGAATGTGTGCATTTTATTTTGAATAGTTAATATTTTAATTATATTTATTTACATTAACTAACATTTTTAAAGAAAGTAGTTTTATTCTGCAAATATGTATTGATATGCCACCTTATATTGCAATAACCAGAAGAGCAAGGACTACATAGAAGACCCCACTACTGCATAATAGATCCTGTTATAATTTTAGTAGCAATGTTTGGAGCTATTTAATGCAATTAATATTGAACTGACTATGTTTTAGAACATGAAAATTACAGAATTTTCAGTATGTTTAAGAGGAACTATTCAAAGCATGTTTTTTAAGGAAGAAATGAAGGTATAGGCTATACAGTGATCTTGTTCTTACTGAGTTAATAAACGTAAGTTTATACCATTTTACGGATATACCATTTTAGAATTGGAATTCATAAAATAGGAAAAACAATAGCTATATGCCAGCCAAATGCCTAGGAAAATGCAGTTATAACTGATTCTGTGATTCCTTCTATGGGCTAGGAACTCTTGCCTTAAATGGAGGAATATCTGACAACCCATTTCTGGCTTAGTCCAGTTTTTATCTACATTTACCAATTAAAGTACATTTTTGTTTTGACTAATTCTAGATTCCTTTTCCATAAGTGCAGCCACTTCTACCCTGACAGCTCAAGAGAAAACATTTAGATGAGGCAACTTCACTTTGGTTTGTTACAGTCCATCATTTTCATACCTTGTTGCTTTCATATGCTGGTACATCATTTTATCTAGTTTGAATTGGAAACGGAGATAAATATATCTCATTCATTCCGAGAACACACAAACTGCTTTTTGACTGAGCTAATCCAGATAGCCATTGGGTGGAATCTAATGGCTTTCCTGAAAACATCTACTTGTCTGTTCTCTGATATGTGAGGAGCTCTTGGGAGTAGCAATCAAAAGTGAAAAGGAGGCTTTCTTTAGCTAAGAAAACGAATGCTGTCATCTCTACTGAGCTACTCTACCTCTTCAGCTTATATAAAAAGATTGTATTTCACTAAAAGCTAGTTCATTTCTCATTTGTACAATGTAAAAACATAGGAAAAGCAGTACTGATAAAGATCAAAGGCTATCTCTTCCACCAGTACCAATGTCACGTCCAGAAGCAGAATATAAGCAAAAATAGTATTTGTCCCCATCATTTCCCCCAGTAACTGAAACTGAGAAGCCTATTGCTTCTGATACTGGAGATAATATGTAGCCTTCATACTGAGTAGCCATTGATTCTCTATGAATTTGTCTCATAAAAGCCATGTAAGGGGACCATCTAGTCAACTGAGCTTCACAAATGGTTTGGAAAGCACAATTTTTAAAAGTAATTTGGAACAAACAATTAAATGTTAAAAGATAATGAGTATTTTTTTTCCAAAGGGAGTGAAACATATTAAGGTTGTAATCCTATATACATTGATTCAGTGTAATTTACTTTTGAGTATACATATAGGATTATTTTGTAGAATATTATGTATAGTATCGAAAAATGAAATTATGAAATTGGGAAATAGATACTAATCAATTGTGTTAAAAAAAGAGGAAAAATGTAATCTTATAGGTAGTTTTTTTATTAGATCGCTTCACCAGTAATATGGATCAGTACGGTTTAGCACTAGAGTATGAAAATTACACACCTGTAAAAACGGCATCTAACAGCTATGAAATTAAGAAATTCTTTTCTCCATCATATAACATACTGTAAAGACAGTGGTTGCGTTCCAGAAACTTAAGGAACTATACATGTAAATGTGAATTGTGTATGAATTGGAAATATTGCTAAATACTTTTGGAATAAAATGATCTGATTGAACATTGTTGCACTGTAATTAAATTATCCGTAGTGGAAATATGATCAAAATATTTTCTTGAAATAAGAATGCGATTAAAAACACCAGGGAATTAATGGAAGTATAAATTCAAGATCTGAAATTGAATCACAAATCTGAGTTGTTTTGCATTTTGGGAATATAATTTTATGTGTTTCATAGAAAACACTTCATTGAACTTTATGAAGTCAAAAGAATTCCACACAGTGCAGAGCAGCTGTTAAACTGAATTTCGGTAGCTTTCCAAAATTTATCTAGCGATCACTAGTTTGAGAGAAAATGAAGAATACTACTCATCCATGTTACTGGAAAACAAAAGAACAATAACAGTATGCAAATTAAACAATGAATATTGGAATATGTCAAAGATACAGCATTTTTGTTAATGTGAATCAAAAATATTTCTCTGGCCTAGCATCCAAGATTGTAAAGCCAAGGCTTATGAGAATTAATTAAACATCATGATATTTCAACTAATAAGTAGTGTGTCTGTTGTCGTGGAATGTCATCAGGATTTGTTTGTTTTCTTTTGTATTATATCTCTATAGGCAGTTAACACTGATCATATAGTGCAAACTAGATAAAATTGTGTTTCACTGTGTGAAATAAACAGAGGTGCAAATGCTCAGTAGGATACCATTAAGACGTAAAATGGCAAAAATAAATATCAAAACTTTTTATCAGTGTAAAAAAGTAATTGGGTTATTGTATAACCTAGAGTCTGGCAAAAAAGGCCTCAAAAAGTTCAGTCTTCAGAAATTCCACAAATTAAGTGCCTTTAAGTATTCCTTTTAGACAAGAGATTCCATACTTTCTGCAGGATCCGATTCTTCACTGGCCATAACAACACCATTTTTGTCCATTGCCATGGGGCCATTTCCATTTTCTTTAGTGCTGATCAGGCTTAGCATTGCTTTGTAAAGAAATTGGTACTGCTCCTAGAACAAAAAAGATCAAAAGGTGTTAAAACTACCTAAGATTTAAGCAAGCAGAATGTTGTATTTATTTATTTGATTGTTATGCCACCCATCTCAACTATGGATAGTATGGATACAATAAAAAAGATAATACAAGACAGTTGGGGCTCCAGGCCATTGGGGCTCCAGGCCATGTGGCAGAACAAAGTTTTCAGGCTCTGTTAAGAATGTGGGGTCAGACCTCTCTTCCAATGGGAGAATATTACAGAGGGTGGGGGCCACAGCAGAAATTCTCCTGTGTCCCAACAATTAACATGATTTGGCAGATGGGATCCAAAATAGGCCACTGGAATGAGTGGGGTGGAATACTCATGTCAGGGTGAGATGATTGCTCAGATACCCTATGTCCTACTTGTAAAGGTACAGGTAGTCCTTGGTTTAATGACCACAGTTGAGCCCAAAATTTCTGTTGCCAAGTGAAACAGAAGTGAATTTCACCCAGTTTATGACCTTTCTTGCCACAGTTGTTAATTGAATCACTGCAGTTGTTAAGTTAGTAACATGGTTGTTAAGGGAATCTGAATTCTCCATTGACTTTGCTTGTCAGAAGGTTGCAAAAGGAGATCATGTGAGCCTGGGACACTGCAATCATCATAAATATGAGTCAGTTGCCAAACGTCACAGGACCATGGGGATGCTGCAATGGTTGTAAGTATGAAAAACAGTCATAAGTGACTTTCAGTGCTGTCGTAACTTCAAATGGTCACTAAATGAACTGTTGTAAGTCGAGGACTACTTGTAATGACCCAACTGAATTGGATCCAGAAGCAAACAGGCAACCAGTGCAACTCGTGTAACAGCAGTGTCACATGTGCCACCTGAGGGGTCAGTAGAAGTGTCCATGCTGCTATCTTGTATTTTATGTCCAGATTGGATTTTCCAGAGTGCTTTGTTTTTGCCTGTTACAATTCCAGTTGAAGCCCAAACAAAGTTTTTTTTTTTACTCTTCACAGATCTCAGTAAGCTTTACATTATGGTGTAACTCTCACTTCCCAAAATGGTGCAACAGTTTGTCTTTCATTTTTTTAAAATAATTTATGTGAAACTATATTGTTAGCCCTCCCCAAAAGAATGCATCACAATTTTCTTCAGTGTTTTTCCATTCACTTTCAATCATTAATTAGAGCATGTATAAATGATCTTGTCTTGCCATTGAACAAGGCTGCTTGCTTGCATGCATGAAGTCTCCAGTAAAAAGCCTCTGCATGATAATATGAAAGAGAGGGCATATTCACCTACAGTGTCCCTAAAGTTATGCATATTGCTGAAGAATGGTTCTTAGGATGGAATCCAATGATCTTATTCTACAAGACAGAACTATCAGTAGAAAAGAAGAGCCTGTGGAATAAATTATGGGAGAATAAACTATGCTTCTCTGTCAATAAATACATGTAATATTAAATTTATTTGCTGCCCATCTCACTCTGCAAAGCAACTCTGGGATCCATTAAAGGAAAAAGAGCACTGATTTCACGGTTCAGCTGTGCATATGACTAGACAACAGCACATGGAGAAATCCCATAAGAAAAGCAGGCAAAAAATAGTTATGTATCATATAATCTCACATGAAGTGACTCTGGACAGCAAATGGCACATAATTTTTTTTAAAAAGATAACATATTTGAACCAAGATGACAAGAATTTAGGACTGCACAAAATCCATGCAAGGATTTTAATAGTTCTCATTTATTGTTGAATGATTTCTTTGTAAACCACAACTATCTTTCTCAGTTTCAAACTTACAATGTCTGTAAATACTCCAGGCCTCATCAGATTGATCATTTTTGCCACCTGGAAAACATCAACAGCATTTTCATTTTCCAGTTGCTGAGACAGGGTAGTCAGAGCACACAATGTTCCAGCTGCCACTGCTCCATACCTGAAAAACCAAAGAATAATTTTATTCCCTATAAGAGATCCAGGCAATGTCTTATCAGGCTGAATGGAAACTTTTATGTCTCTATGTCCAATTTAATTTTTCTTGAATTTCCTCCTGAGTTTTTATCAAGTATTTATTCTCGGAGTAAAATAAGAAATGATAAGGATGGGTGCACATATGGAAAAATATATTTTCTGCTACATTTCCTCCAAATGCAATTAAAAGCTGAACTTATACCTAAAACATGAAAATAAAATTCAGTGAATATAATAAATACTAGAATGGATTTACCAAAAAGGTAACCTTGCAGTGTTAAAAATAAGCTTGATTTTTGGGGGGTGGGGTCTGACAAAATGCTCAAATCAATAACTATTTTTAAAACAATTTTTAACAAGGCAAGCTCAGCAAAATGATTACAAACCAGATGAACATTAAAATTAGCCATGGCTTAATACAAGTTGGCAAAACTATCTCTAATCTTATACCTTTGTAAGTCATGGAACAATATAGATATTTAAAAACTCTTCTATTCATATTAACATTCAGTATAAAATTGGATACAGAAGAATATCTATGAAACTTTAAACAGAATTCTAATTTTCCTAGAGAAGTCAATGAGACCTTTAACTTCCCTCCTAGTTTGAATGTTCACAAGATTTTATATTTCTTATATTTTCTCCAATCTTTATAAAAATTAATTCAGAGAATATACATACTCATCATGAATGATGGTTGGGCCATCTCTTGTTAAGGCCTCTTCCTTGATTATATTGATAAGCTCAAAGGTACTGCTGATTGGGGCATCTGGATTTGGCCATTTAGGGCACTGAAAGTGGCGAACTTCCAAAACGTAATCATCCTGAAATAAAAACCAGCCCAACTATTCACCATATTAATTTCTTTTCTGCAGTTGAAATAACTACATTTTATACCTTCAGCCTCAACAGTGTATACATTTTTCAATATTTTTTTGGAAGGAGATGCTAAGATGACAACCAATTAGTGGGTCCTTTTATAAGCTTCTGCTATAATCTTATTTCCCCTGGTCCAACCCCTGTCCCCTTTTAAAGTGTTGTCCAGCGGCAAAAGAAAAAAAAGGAAGGAAAGGAAAGAACCCAGATAAGCCTTAATAATAATATTGGGGTTTAAAACTCCAGTAAGGCAGTGAAGCAATGAGAATCAACTCCCATTTCCCCAATAGAAAGATATATTTTGAGTGCCTGTCTTAAGTAGAGGAGCTTCTCCCATAGGAGTCCCTTTACACATTACTTAACAGTAATTCTTTGATAGAGGAAGAACAAGTATTTCTCTCTCCAAGAAATCAGAAATGAATTAATTTCTGTTGCTAAAGAATGTCACAATCTCACCAGTTGTATATAAAGAGAAAATGCTAGTTTTGTAAAAATGGTTTTTTTAAACTCTTCCTCAATATTACTAGAAAGAAAAAAGGTGATTCTTAGTAGCACTTAATGGTGTTATGACCTCTCTTTGCTCAACTTTGGGGAGTATACTCCAGTTGCTATAGTGATATCGCTGAAGTTGCTCCATACCCTATTTTTAAAAATTTAGGTGACATTTCTGCATTGATAAATTCCTCTTATGGGTGTTGCATGTTATTAAACTGTATGTTGAGTCCAAATATAATATCTAGACAACTAGGATGGTTAGATAACACTTGTACTGCATATTTATTACATGTGAAAATCCAGATGCATTTATTTACTACACCATTGCAAAAAACACAAAAGGCAAATCTTACACATCAACTAATAAAATAAGGAATTGTGTTACATTTTAATTATTCAAAAATAAAGGAGAAGATTTGTAACTCAGGGTGGAAATGAGAGGTCCTTGCTGCTCTCTGAGCTTGACTGTTTCCTTCCACATGTTTCATTACTCAAACTAGGTAACAGTGCACTGATGATGTAACTTAGTTTGGGTAATGAAACGTCTGCAAGAAAAAAAAACAAGCTCAGAGAGCACCAAGGACTCCTCATTAAAAATAAAAGTAAAATAACATAGAAATGGCACTTGATTATATAACAGTCCCAAATGTCAGATAATCAGTCAGCCAAAGAGCCATACATATAGGACATCCAGTCATTTTGCTGCAGAACATAACAAAACATGTTAAATATTTTTGGAACAACAGCTTAGTTTTTCTGTTAGCTGTTCCAAATGTCTTTTTAAAAACTCCTTTCAGTTTCAATATGAGCTCAGTTTCTTTTATAGAAAGTATTATATAAATGTATGTATCACCCATTTGTGATTTGAGATGATTGAACGGCTAATTTCTTCATTGTAGCATATGTTGCAAAATTGCATGAAATTTTTATAAATCTAAATTTACTGAGGAGGAATATCAAAATTTGAACCCAAAGCTGATTTGCTCTATCTCAGTTTCACACAGGACAAATTACAACCTAAATAAGTTGCTCTCAACAGGATCTGGGAGAACAGCTAGTTGAGTATGTATCATAAAATTTCGAGAGGAAAATATTGACCTTTAAAAACCTTATTTTTGGTTTTTTTTAAAAAAAATTGGACCTCAAACACATGGTGTTCTTGTTTGAGAAGTCGTTTTATGCTTAGTTCTTAAGTAAAAGCTTCTGTATTATTGCTTTCTATGGAAATGACATTCTATCCCAAAATTGGGATACTATAGAAACAATCTCTGAGAAGGAATAAAATGATATTGAGACCTTCATGACCAAAGACAGACCTCTGTCTGTAACCCATTGCAAATCATTCATCTTGAATATTAACCAACATCAGCAGGAGTTTGAATGAAAAGCAGACTTCAGATTCACCTCTGGAAGATATTTTATATACCTGAGTAGCCTCAAGGATGAAGTCATGGATGATGATCTGCTCCTCATTAGAGAGGCACAGACGGTCCTTGCTGATAAGGGTGACGGTAAATGCCTCGCAGTTCATGGATTCTTCCCGACTTGGCCAGTATACAAATTCATCTTCTGCCTGAAGACAATTGAATCAAACGGGAGACATTTGAATATATTGCTTTAATCTTTAAACAGGTAGAATTCACCAGATCAAAACTTCATTTAATTAGGCAAGACTATTAAATGAAGTCAAACTAATTTTCTGCAACATCCTTCCCTTAGAAAAAAAAAAGCCAACAGTATACTTGTCTTCATTACAGCAAACCTTAACCTGTAATTGGTTTCGTGGGGAGATGCTTATTTTACAACATTTAAACATTTATATATGATCCACATTTAAATGGATAAAAATTTCCCCAGAAAGAGTTATATAATTAGATATTGTTCCATAATGCCACGTGCCAGGTATTGCTGTAAAATAATTATTATTTGTTTTCTACCTATAAAATCATTTTGATGTTCCTTCAAAAATTTAAAAAGTTTTTTTAAAAATATTTTCACCTAAAATATCAGTAGATAAATCTTTTTTTTACTGCTTGATATGTAAAACATTTTTTTTTTTTGCTATACTGTCGCTGGAAGATGTACAAATTTTCCTGCTCTCAGCTGTATTTTTCCCAGGAGCCCCCAAACTTCATTGCATAATCTGGATTACAAAATTGTATTGTCTGGCTATAATTTTCATTGAAATAGAGGGAGAAGCAGATAAATAATCTGATTCCTTCTTATTGTGCTACCATACCAATATATAGCCTACGAAATGAAATAACTTACTAAACTCTGATTATCTGGAAGCATGACAATGATCTGTGCATTGTGATCCCAGATCATTCTCCAGAAGTCTTTAGTTGTATGTGGCAAGGGATGCTGTGTTATGATGAACTCATTGCTCCGATAGTAGCCCTTTAAAAGAAACAAACAGCAGTTTTTCATGAATGGAATAGTTTGGAAACATTAAACACCTTAGGTGAAGACCCAGAGGTGGTGTTCAGCAAGTTCTGACCAGTTCTGGAGAACTGGTAGCAGAAATTTTGAGTAATCCGGAAAACCAGCAAACACCACCTCTGACTGGAGATTTTACAGTATCCTTCCCCTATCACGCCCACCAAGCCACGCCCACAGAACTGGTAGTAAAAAAAATCGAATCCCACCACTGGTGAAGACAAAAGTAATTGAACAACTTTCAGGTTAATTCATCTGAATAACAATACTGAAGAACATTATATATTATTTTACTTTTGTTTTGTTTGTAGAGGTTTTGTAATGTTTTATATGGATTGTTCTTAGCCACCTATAATCAGTCAGTCAGTGAGTCTCTCTCTCTCTCTCTCTCTCTCTCTCTCTCTCTCTCTCTCTCACACACACACACACACACATACACTCTGCCATATAAACTTTTAAAATAAACTGTAAAGAAAATTATAAATGTGGTATCCTTAACTGAATTGATTCTACCAGAAATTATCATTTTCAGAATGCATGCTTACATGATCAACTGTACTTTGAAGAAAGAAATAAGTGAACTACTGTTTTCAAATAATAGGAGTAAATCACTATTTGATTAAGTGTCATTTAGCATGTTTTACACAGATTCCTGCACTAGAATTTATTGATTCTGTATCACTTGGTTTTCAATGCTATTTCAATCTAACAACTCTGAGGAGCTTAAAATGAGATTGCACAGAGACATGTTGAACAATAATGCAAAATACACCATTAAGGGAACATATTAGTCTAGATACCTGGTATAATTTATTGTTCTAGAACATACAACCAATTCCTGTAGGGTTGAACATAACTTTTTAGCTACTACTCAGCCTTTCTTTCCAAGGGGGCTTGGGACAGACTGCTTAATTTTTAATTTATGCAAACTAATTTTTAAAAAAATTGTATGCAGAAATCTATAATGCTCAATATAGATCTCTTATTAAGCAAACATAATTTTAATGGAATACAAGACAGAACAATCTATAGAAACAGAACAATTGAATATTTGGATGTTTTCTCTGGATTTACTTAAAGATAAATGATTATTATCTTACCATGATATATGAGGCATTAATGTAATCAGTTCCCTTCATGCCAGGTAATGGTGCTAGTCCTACCCTTGCTCGTTCAGCTGCAGCATCAAACAAATAAATTATATGTCAAATAGATCTTAATAATCACAGTAGGACTATTTTAACAAAATCTAGTTTGCCCATGATCTGATTGAGATGATAAAATAACACAGATTAAATTGATAAAAAATTCACGTGAAAACATAATTTCTGAAATAAAATGTTACTTGTACTGTGTTTTATTGTCAAAGCCACACAATGAAAACTAATTCCATGAACCTCATTGAAAACATGGATTTTCAAACTTTTTCAGGCTGTGGAATCAGTTAAAAAAACATCCAGACTCTCTGTTGCCTGCCTCATATAGACATACATATACAGCATTTTCATCAGCACAAACAACCTGTCCTTTCCACTGTACCTCCAAAAACAAAACAAAACACCACCCTATTGGGGTGCCCTGTCCGTCTTCAACTAAACTTTTTTTGCCCTGGAAGCGTTTTCAGGAAACTGTAGGTAGACCAACTCCAGAAGACTGCACCTCTTTATTAGAAGGATTTTAGAATTTACGAAAGTCATTAACAGTTCTTCATGCAAGGACCAGTATAACTGAATTATGCTACAGTACAAGTGTTCCGGAGCTATTATATTTTGGTTAAAAACAAAAGTATTTGGCACAAGCCAACTTTTAATCAGGCACCTCAAATTCAAATATTGGTGTTTGGTCTGCATGCAGGTTTGTAGAAAAGTTCTAGTCAACCTTTGCTCTCGAATATAAAGCAATTGAATTCATTCCCTTTCCCACTTAATGCAAATATACTTTCACCATTTGCAGAATGAATTTATGCAGAGCAAGAATCAAATTCAAAGATGAGATCTTACATGGCACTACTGATGAGTTTCTGTTCTTCTCTTTGTTGCAATCTTTTTGGGCACTAAAGCATTCTATGTATTTTGCATTGCATTGCATAACCAGCTGCAAAATTTAAAACAGAAAAGGAACAAGATTAATTCTTGATCAGTCTTTTAAAACATAAACCTGCATATACTTTTCTATTTCTAAAAAAAAATAAAGAATTCTTAGAAAACCAAACTTTACAGCCTGTGGTCACATGATCGACATTTGAGTACTTTGCAGCTGAGTGGACTTCACAACCAGCAGTCAATGGAGGAGCTGGCCGTAAAATTGCAAGTCGCAATCACATGACCAAATTAATGACCAAATAGGAAGAGACTTTATAATCATGTCATTGTCATGTGATGCTTCACTCAGAGACAGTATTGCTGAGCAATGAAATTGCCAATTTCAATTGTGGTCCTTAAGAAGGACTATCTATATCATTCCATTGGTAGGAAGAATTCATGTTGTGTTGCCCCCAGAGCCCCCAAGATGACAGCAGGAGAGCAAAATAATGAGGTTTATGATGATGTGCCATTTTTGGATAAAATAAGGCATTGTTTCAATTATGTTAAGTGTTTGAGAAGCGTAATGTAACTTATTTTAGGTAAAACAATAACACACACACAGACCAAATTCTACCCTTCGCTCCCTTGCTTCAGTTTCTTGAAAATATATTTTAAAGATCCCTTCTACCTTATGCTAGAATGAGCTCTTAATTTTTTGATTCACTTATCTAGTTTCAACTGTAGACTAAATTCCCTAAGAAAAAAAAATCTCATTATGAGGGCGTCACAGAGAGCATTACTGTGGAGCAGATTCTGCAGGGCTGAACCATGACTTAAGGATATTTTCAGATAACAGATAAACAGAATTGGAAGGGATCTTGTAGGTCATCTAGTCCAACCCCCCACCCAAGCAGGAGACCCTACACCATTTCTGACAAATGGCAGTCCAATCTCTTCTTGAAAGTCTCAAGTGATGGCGCTCCCACAACTTCCGAGGGCAAGCTGTTCCATTGGTTGAATGTTCTCACTGTCAGAAAGTTTCTCCTTGTTTCCAGGTTAAATCACTCCTTGTTCAGTTTCCATCCATTATTCCCTGTCTGGCCTACAGGCGCTTTAGAAAATAGCTTGACCCCTTCCTCCCTGTGGCAGCCCCTCAAATATTGGAAGACCGATATCATGTCTCCCCTGGTCCTTCTCTTTAGCAGACTAGCCAAGCCTAGTTCCTATAACTGTTCTTTGTATGTTTTAGTCTCCAGTCCCCTAATCATCCTGGTTGCTTTTCTCTATACTTTTTCTGGAGTCTCAACATCTTTTTTACAATGTGGTGAACAAAACTGGATGCAGTACTCTAAATGTGATCTTATTAAGGCTTTATAGAGTGGTATTAGTACCTCACTTGATCTTGATTGTATCCCTCTGTTAATGCAACTTAGGATTGCATTAGCTTTTTTGGCTGCTGCTGCTGCACACTGCTGGCTCATATTTAGCTGGTTGTCCATTTAGGCTCCAAGATCCCTCTCACAGTTACTGCTATTGAACCTGGTTTCACCCAGTCTATATGTGTACTTTTGGTTTTTCTTGCTTAAGTGGAGGACTTTACTTTTCTCTACATTGAATTTCATTTTGTTAGATATGGCCCAGTATTCTAGTCTGTCAAGATCCATCTGGATCTTGAGCCTATCTTCTTGGGTGTTAGCTATTCCTGCCAGCTTGGTAAATTCCCCTTCTATTCCCTCATCTAAGTCTATTCCCTCATCTAAGAGTACTGGGCCTAAGACAGAACCTTGTGGCACCCCACTGCTTACTTTCCTCCATGTAGACTTAGACCCATTAAGGAGTACTCATTGAGTATGGTTTGTCAGCCAGTTGCAAATCCATGGTGGTGGTGGTGCTATCTATTCCACTTTTTTCTAGCTTACTAGAAGTAGGTTGTGGTCTACTTCGTCAATGCCTTGCTGAAATCTAAATATATTATGTCCACAGTATTTTGCTGGTCTACTAATTTAGTCACTGTGTTGAAGAATGAAATAAGATTGGTTTGGCATGATCTATTTTTAACAAAACCGTGCTGACTGCTAGTTATTGCTTTACTTGTTTCTAGATGTTGGCAGATCTGTTTTTTTATTATCTTTTCCAGTATCTTCTCAGGTATTGATGTTAGGCTGATTGGTCTATAGTTTCCTGGGTCTGTTTTTTTCCCCCTTTTTTGAAGATGGGAACCACATCAGCTCTTTTCCAGTCCTCTGGCAGTTCCCCGGTGCTCCAGGATTTTTGAAAGATATGGTGCAGTGGTTCTGAGATTACCTCTGGCAGCTCCTTTAAAACTCTGGGATGTAATCCATCAGGCCCCTGTGATTTGTTTTCATCAAGATCAGACAGGTATTCTCTTACTATTTTTTTGCTTATTTTAACTTTTATTTCTGGTCTGTCTTTTACAGTTATGTTTTTGGTGGGTTGAGCTATAGTTTCTTTTTGCGTGAAGACAGATGCAAAGAATGAGTTAAGAAGTTCTGCTTTCTTTCTGTTGCCTGTTACTTCCTTGCCATCTTCTCTCTTTAGTGGACTGACTGTTTCCTTGATTTTTTTTCTTGTTATTTATATGTTGGAAGAAACTTTTTTTATTATCTTTGACTTTTGTTGCAAGTCTTCGTTCGTTCTGAGCCTTTGCTATCCTGACTTTGTCTCTGCAGATTCTAGCTATCTGCTGATATTCTGCCTCAGTTGTATGTCCTCCTTTCCATTTTTTGTACTTGTCCTTTTTTTCTTTCAATTTGCCAGAGAGATCTTTGTGCAGCCATGCTGGTTTCTTCTTGGATTTCTTGTTTTTCTTTCTCAGTGGTGTTGTGCTAGTCTGGGCTTCTATGATCATACTTTTTAGAGTTTCCCAAGATTCTTGAGTTGTTTTCCCCTTTAGGATTTTCATCCATGGAATCTTTCCCAAGTTCTCTCTGAGTTTATTGAAATCAGCTCTTTTAAAATCCAAGACTCTGGTGTCATTATGTTCTGTTGCTTGTGTTTGTGTTATGCTGAATTCTTGTATGACACGGTCACTCTCACCCAAGGTTCCTGCAGTTTCAACTCCCTCTATCACTTCTTCTCTGTTTGTAAGAATTAAGTCCAGTATGGCTGTCCCTCTAGTTTCACCCTCTACCTTTTGGACAACAAAGTTGTCAGCTAGGTTGGTTAGGAACTTATTTGATTTCTCACTTGGTGCAGAATTAGTTTTCCAATTGATATCAGGATAATTGAAGTCTCCCATTACTATTGTTGTGTGTTTCCTTCATATGTTTGTTAGTTGGCTGGCAAAAATATTTTCTGCTTGATTGGGTGGCCTATAATATACACCTATGGTCATGTCATTCTTTTTTTCTTTTATATTGACCCATATGCATTCTAGGAAGTTTTCATCTTTGGTTTCATGCATTTCTGTAGCAATATAGTGGTCCTTTACATACAGTGCAACTCCACCTCCTCTTTTATGGGGTCTTTTTCTTTTGAATAATTTGTATCCTTCTACAAGCATGTTCCAGTCATGGGTTTCATCCCACCAAGTTTCTGTTATTCCAACTATACATATTTATCTTCATGTATTCATAGTTCGAGTTCACCCTGTTTGTTCCCTAGACTTTGTATTTAGGCACTTGAGATCTTTATGTCTGACACTGTGTTTACTGTCTACATAATCTGTGTTGTGCCTGCCTGCCCCTACTTTCTTGCCACCTGTTTGATTAGTGCACAAGGTATGGCACTCACTATTAAATGCTTGGTTTTGGTTGGCATCAAGGTTGATAATCTTACCTGCACAAACATCTATTTCAATCCTCCCATTTCAATTTTCTTGAATTACTTGAATGACCTAAGTATCAACATTGGTCAGGAAGGGCAGCAGTAACAATGAAAACCATTCAAAACTAAGATTGACAAATCATGTAAGTATATTGGAACACAGTGTCTTGTGTAGTTAGGACACTGGGTTGAAAGTTAGCAAGACCATGTTTGAGACCCTAGTGCTGCCATGGGGTGGGTTGAGCTCCCATCCTTCACTCCAACTCCTGCCGGGGTCAGGAAAGGGGTCCCCAACTGGATGTCCCCCGGGCAATGGTGATGTCACTAGCTAATCCTTTCGACCCAGAAGCGTCTCGGTGCTTCTGACACGAGTGTGATGTGATGTATGGTATAAACCTGAAATACTTTGATCAGATCCACACAGTGAATGTCAAAATTTACCTTGAACTGTTTCTCTAGTCGAGTCTTGCCTCCAATACCAGGTATGAGAATGCTGTTGACATAGCTATGGAGCTGATTGGCAGAAACTTCAGTCTCTTTCCCGAGAATGGCTTCCAACAAGGCATCATGAATGAAAACATACTGCTCCTAAGGGAAGCAAAGAGAGATAGGCATGTATGGACTCTGTTCAGAATGAAATGCAAGTGCTTTTGAATCATGCAAGGCTGGATATTTGCAACAACCTTGGACCAAAGATTACCTACATAACTTTTCAGTTTCACTGATGGTTCTATTTCTGGAGCATTCATATTCCTGTTTTTCTCCGCTGCTTGTTTATTACCTTTCCCCCCAACATCTGTAATTTTTCTTCCATGCTGTCTAACGTCAGTCACCTTTTTCTATTTACTTTGATCAAACTAAAATAGTGTTATGAGCTTAAAGAGTGGAGTTATGGTATGACTTCTATCAACTTTTCTCTCTCAAAGGGCTGTGCATTTCAAATAATGCTAAGAAAATCAATCTTGGCAATATTTAAAGTTCTGAAACTTGGGGTCTGTATATTGTGTCCCCCCCACCGACTTCATCCCAAATAATTTCTTAAGCACTTAGCTTGTTCTGACTTTTACATACAGCTGGTCTTCAAATGATGACCAAAGTTGGAATTCAAAATTCTGTTCCTAGAACAATGAGTTGTGCCTGAATTTATGACCATGATTGCCACGGTTGTTGAATGAATCACTACAGTTAGGGGAACCTCATGATTGTTAGGGGACTCAAGCTTCACCCACTGACTTTGCTTGTTGGAAGCCATTTGGAAAGGTTTCAAATGGTGATCATATGACCGTGGGGTGCTGCAGCCATTGTAAATATATGCTTGTTGCCAAGCATTCAAATGCTGATTTTGTGACTGAAGGAAGGTTTTAATGGTTTTAAGTGTGAGAACCAGTCATCAGTCCCTTTTTTCACTGCAGTTATAAGTTTAAATGATCGCTAAAATGAATAGTTGTAAGTTAAGGACTGCCTGTAAATGAAAAACAATCAATCTGAATATATTCAATCAAAAGTATGGATGAGTATATCTATGTAGTCACTACGAATCAACATTGACTTGATGGCACATAATGATTCTTTATATACATACTTGTAAAACGAACAGATGCACACAAGAAATTTAATCTGCAAGTTGTGTTATTTTAGTAGTAAGTGCAATAATCAAACTTCATATAACAACATTTAGTTGATAGTGACTGACTGCAGTAATGGTAATGCATGCGTTTCTGATTCTTACCTCCGTCTGGACGAGGTAGTTGCGCTGTGTCCTGATGTGTTTCAGGAAACCCAAGACATTAACTGTGCTTTTGTCTTTTATTTGTTGCAGCATACTGTCTATTACAATGTAGGTACCAGTCCTGCCAACACCAGCACTAAAACCCCCAATCATAAGTAAAGAAATAAAGCAGTAGAAAACGTAATTAAATATTAAGAAAGAATGCCTCGACACTATTATTAATTTTTATAACAACCATGGAAGTGCTGTAAGCAATGTTCAACCTGAACTTCTTCAAATGGAATAGGATATGGCTCGGGATGCTTGGAAGTAATCCCAAAATTGACACCCTGGAATATGCTTTGGTGATGAAATCAAGATCTCTGGGGAATTTTGACAAAATGGCTTAAGGTATCCTAAGTTTGTATCCTTTAGAGATCTGCCAGCACCCCAAATGATACGTAAACGTTTCTAGTATAAATTGTATTGCTTCAACCAATAAACTTTTCTGTGGTTGATGAAATGTTTGCTTTGCCAGAAGGACTTCAAGATTTTTCTTTGAAGATAAAAATGTCTTGTGTTTTCTTTCTCTTTCTCTTATGTTCAGCTGTCAAATGCCTTTCTCTTCCTTTCTCTTTCTTCTTTAAGATCTTTATTTGCATGCTAACAAAATACTCTTTCATCACAGCCTTCACCTCACAGCTAAGGATCTTTTTTGTCACAGTGCATATTAATGTGATTTTCAGGGAGGAACTAGCCCTGCAGAGGGAATATATATATAGAAGCTATGTCCCCACTAGTGAAAAACTCAGGATGATTCAAATCTGCTTTCCAATTGTTCTATGATTATCGAGTTCCAATTTTAGATCAGGTTTTGGAATGCTTACTATTATTTACTTTCAAAGGTGACTAGATGAGAAAGCTTAGTTTGCAAATCAGTTAGAAACCAATTATAGTTGTACAGCAACTTCAGAATGAATGATACTCAGAAACTTGTTATGTAATTTCCCCCTTTTGATATATCAAAACATTTTCACTATGTATATCATAGCATCCTTTTCAATTCAGAAGAATGAACTTTACCAAATAACTGATGAAAAACCTTTTCAGATGGTTTCTTTTTTCAGTTTTATAAGAAAAAATAAGAATGCTAATATCGACACATCCAGGAAACCTGAAGGTCATTTTGGCAATCAGGATATATTAAGAAATCTCATGAATGCAAATATACCTATTTCCCTGACAATGTGTTTTTTGTTTAGCTTTGTGCCTAGTTATGACATAGTGCTTTTCAGTATTGTTTCCAGAATAATTTATGTTATTAAAAAAATAAAAATCCAGAACCAGATGAGTATCATAATTCTAAGACTTAGAATGTATCCTTGGTTTAATCCTACATTCCATGAATGAGCTTGGAAAAGTGTCTCAGACTCAAGTCTCTCTGTAATATGTGTTTTTCGTTACTGTGGTAAATGTAGCTATTCATTTTGGTATTGAATGTCATCATCGTCATTACATCACTAAATGAATTTAGACTCATGGTGATCTGTAAAAATGTCAGCAGTTAAAAGAACAGGTGATGGACATATAGACACATTGTTGTATATAAAAACCAAACCACAGTTGCAACTGTACATTAATCTACACTAGGCCTGAAGGCCGGGTGCGTCACACACAGGCCATGCCCACCCCAGCTCTGCGAAGCCCCCCCCAAAAATCATGGCACATCATGTGACATTACATGACATGGCAAGTTTGACATCCGCAACCTACACTATGTTGTCACCAAGAATAGATTGACAATGTCCAAACATACCTGCAATGTACAATTACTGGACCCATCTCAGCAGTTCTGGCTGCAGAGGATCTTCTCACAAATGTCAGCACGGGAAGTGCATATTCAGGTACTCCCATGTCAGGCCACTGTGTGTAATGGTACTGAATGACCGTCCTTTCGTTTTGACGACCTTTGGGATTCCCCTTTTGATCCAGAAGTCATGAAACATACAGGTAGAAAATATTTATATTAATTAACATCAAGGTTTCCTTGTGTTCACATTTTTCCTTTACTGTTCAGCTCTCTCTGGACACACGAGAGCAGAATAAACTCAATGGTGCTATAATTTAAGGATTTTATGTGAAAAAGCCCTGTAAATTCAAATATAATACTATTATCGAACAATTGAGATACACTTTGCTTTACAAGGCAACCTTCTTTGTAATTTTGTATTATTGGACTAACATATCAGTTTATGAGAGGTAGTTTCAAGTTCTTACAGCCTGACATGAATTGAAAACTGTATCTTCCAAAATGCAACTGAATAAGATAAAACTGATCTATGTCTTTCAGGTTCATAGCCGTATTTCACTTGAAGAGTAGTAAAAATTGGGCCTCCCAAAGTTACAGGACTACGATCTCTATAATGATTGGACTGATAGGAAATGTATGTAAACTATTTGGTGATTTTTATACCTTTTTAAAATCCAACAAAATTCACAGACATAATCCTGTTTTAATTTGCTTATTTTTGATGATCAGCCTATTCAGAAAACCATTACAGTAATTTATAATGCTTAATATAAATTCCTTGTTCAACAGTGCCAAATTTGAAAAAAAAAAGATGTTGATGAACTATTTTCTTTAACATTCACTTGCAATTTCAATTATTGTACTCATTTCTCTCAGCTATTAAACATTCTTAATTTCCTAAGCCGTGTCAAATTGTAAAGATATACAATTTGATTTTCTGCTATGGGCATTGCATTGTTCTTGGTTTTCTGGCCCTTTCTGCTTCGTTGTACACTACAGAGAAAGTCTTGCGATCGCAACAATCTTCGAATAGTGTATGTATGTACAAATGGGTCACACTCCGTAGCAACATCCCAAATGGACATTTATTTTTAAACCAATGAAGTGTAATGATATTGCTCACTTTTTTCATTTTTGCATTCCTGACTGTGAAGCGGCGGACAGTGTAGCAAGCATGTACTTTTGTGCTCTTCAGTGTGACAATGATATGGCCATATTCCTCACTGTTTTCAGTTGGCCAATATTGGTCGCATTTTCTCTGAGGAAAGAAGAATAACACAAAACATTAAAAGTCTGTATGATGCCAGAGGTTTCTGAATTAAGGAGGATTGAATCAAGAGATCTGGCTGAATAAAAGAGCTATATTTCTCGTTTGGGGGTCTAAAAAAACCTGCTTATGTTTGTTTAACTCTTTTTTAAACACTTTATTAAAAATTTTCAGAGGGACATAGTGGCTCAGTGGCTAAGACGCTGAGCTTACCAATCAGAAAGGTCGGCAGTTTGGTGGTTCGAATCCCTAGCACCACATAATGGAGTGAGCTTCCGTTACTTGTCCCAGCTTCTGCCAACCTAGCAGTTCGAAAGCATGTAAAAATGCAAGGAGAAAAATAGGAACCACTTTGGTGGGAAGGTAATAGCATTCTGTGAGCCTCTAGCATTTAGTCATGGGGTCACATGACCACGGAGACGTCTTCGGACAGCGCTGGCTCTTTGGCTTTGTAACGGATATGAGCACTGCCCCCTAAAGCCGGAAACAACTAGCACTTATGTGTAAGGGGAACTTTACCTTTTACCTAATAATTTTTATGAATAGGTTATTTCATGAACCAATTGTTAGGACATTATTTGTGAAATATTGTTTATAATATAGATTATCTGATATATTTTTACATAAATTCATCTATATTTTGTCATATGTCTGGCTTTTATTTGTGTTAGTCTTAGTTGCATGTTGTTTTTCCAATGCTACTATGAATTGTTTTGATTATATTTTTAATGGAATGATAGTGTATACATAAAAACTGAGATAATGTCTTGCAATTGAACTGGAATGTACCAGCTTCAAACTTAGTTTTCGAGATCTTATTTTTCCTGGGCTACGAGGGCCATTTTGAAAGTGTTTTTTTCATTTCTTTTTCTAGTGGCAACCCATTTCAGTCAATGTTAGCTAGTGAACCTCCTTTTTTTATCCCATTGTTCTTTTAAGATAGAGGTCCCCAATCCCTGGGCTGCGGCCCACCAGCGGGCCGTAGCCCTTTTGGAACCGGTCACGCAAGTGGCGGTTGTGTGTGTCTGCGCAGTTGCATTTGCATGACTGGCAAATACTCATGCTTGTGTGCCCAGCTCCATATTTGTGAGTGGCAGATGTGCATGCTTGGCACGTATAGCTGCATGGAGTTGCATGCGAAAGCACACACGCCTGCTGCTTGCCTGGAACCCTTTCCTCTCTCCTCTCCTCCTGGCCCGCCTAGGAATTCCTAGCAAATGGTTTTGGTTATATTAATTAAATATTGTTTTATGCAGGAAATAAACTATTTTCATATCATGCCTGTTATTGGCTACCCATGAGCAGAAATGAGATCTGCCTCATACAGTGATTTATTATTACAGTTTATGTTACAACAAAACCAGTGCAACTCCTTAACAAGACTGAAAAAAGATCACACATCTCTGGTGAGTATTGGAGAAAAATGTTATGGTAATAAGATGCAGGCTATTCCACTTACTCTTCCTTTTTCCACAAGATTTGTAATCATGATGATAATTCCAGTGTTTTGCTCCCAAATCATTCTCCAAAAATCTTCAAATGTTGACTTTAAAGGGCCCTGGGTGGCAATGTAGGCTTTCGCTTTGTTGTAACCCTTCAAAGGAAATCACAATAGTATGTAAGATAAAAGTCTCTGCAATAGCAATCATATTAATAATGTATGCCTCTCCAGAGCAGAGCTCTTTTCTACTGAACGTTTGAGGAATTTGGAGCTGAAGTTGAAAAATGAAAAGTTCTGCATGCATTAAGAATTTCTGTTTCTTCTGAGGGACAAGATTTCTCGAGAGAGCTGAGGAAGTAACAAAACAACTTACATCAACATAATTGGCATTAATGTAGTCGCTGTGCTTTGAATCTTTTCCTGGTAAAGGTCTTAGTTTCACTCGACTATGATCATCTGCAGAAACAAACAAGGAAAATACACATTTAAGAAAGTAAGCCTGACACATTTTTCTTTTTTAGTAGATGATTGACTAAGGAAAGAACTCTCTCATGTCAGTAAATGTTACAGAGGAATTGGATTGATCTAAAAATAGGTTGTTCGGCAAATAGGAAGCGTTTTCTCAGTTGGTGATCAAAGTGTTTTGACTGTTTTCTTGGAACACCTAATAATATCAAAGTTATTAATCAATTTTGGGTGCAATGGAATGCCAAAGACAGTCAAATCAGGTAATCAGTTTGGTGAGATCCAATCAAGCTTCTGTTAACAGAAGTCACAGAAAGGGGAAACTTCAGTTTTGGAAAGTTGAACATTTTCAGAGACAGACATGAGGAAAACTACTTTTATGAGACTGCACCAGAATTTTGGCGATGCTATTGTTCAAAATTGGTATTTATTTCAAATCATGGCAGGAAAAATGAATATGTCCCTGGAGATTGGTTTAATGAAGTTAGAAAAAAAATAATGTGTGGGGAGGGAAGGAATAATGCTACTTACCAGTATTGAATCCTATCCTTTTAATTAATTTCCACTCTATTAAAGACTTTCTGGGAATTAGTATATCACATTGGAAAAAAATTAGTCTAGAACACTGAGCTGAGTATTTCTTATGCAGAGTCACTCTGCTAAACAAAAACTGTATATTTTTATCATCAAAGATTATCATTATACAGGCCTGAAAGAAGCATATTATGCATTTGTTGAAATTTTATTATTTTACTTTATTGTAAGTATACTTATAGAAGTATACTTATAAGTAAGTATACTTATAGAAAGCCAGTTTGGTGCAATGATTAAAGCACCAATCTAAAAACTGGGAGACTGAACTTGTAGTCTTATGCATGAAGCCAGCTGGGTGACATCGAGCCGGTCACTCTCTTTCAGCCTTAGAAAAGATGCAATGTCCAGCAACTTGAGCATCTGTGACGCAGTGGTTAGAGTGCAGTACTGCAAGCTACTTCTGCTGAAGCCAGCTGCCTGCAATTTGGCAGATTGAATCTCACCAGGCTCAAGGTTGACTCAGCCTGCCATCCTTCCGAGGTGGGTAAAATGAAGACCCAGATTGTTGGGGTCAATATGCTGACTCTGTAAACTGCTTAGAGAGGACTGTGAAGCACTATAAAGCGGTAAATAAGTATATATTGCTATTGCTAACTTCCAAAAATCTTATCAAGAAAACTGTAAGAACTATTTCAGGCTACCATCATGACTCAACAATGACTTGACCATACAAAAATAAATATAATGATAAATTGGGACATCATTACAAGATAACACAGTAGTTGTTATTTATGACTTCTCTGAAGGCCATTATTACTCACATGCTAAAATGTTGATGTATCTGTTTTTGTGCTTGTTGTCGGGGTGATTGGAATGTTCAGCGGTGATGTTCATGTCGGATGTACAACGCTGCACTTCCTGTTAAGAAAACAAATTGAAAAAGCAGATAAGTGCCAAGCATTTTGCAAACAGCTCATTCAGAACATATTGAAATGCTGGGAGATAATTGATTTTTCCCCATGAGTATCCTTTCAGCAAAATACAATGTAAACATATTCCAGCAAGTTCTATGAAAAATATTTTCTAGTTCCAAATATCTGATGAAATCTACAGCGATTAAAATTCAGTCTAGTGCGAAATCCTGGGTATAGCTGTATTTGTAATTATTTCTCTCATACTAACACCCAGGAAGAGATTCATTGTAACTGTAGGCTTTTTGTGGCCAATATGAAACAGTACAACACACTATTAAATAAAAAGATAGATTGAACCAGATTTGTATCTCAGAAAAATCTATATTTTAGATAAAATATAATGGTTATCCCACAGGGTTAAAAAAGATCAAATGACTGCATAGAAAACACACACACACACACACGCACACTCATCATGCTATTCCCTTTTGTGTTAATCTAATATTTGCTCCAAATCATTCAGATTTCATCGACATTGCATACTATGTGTGTATGTTTCTACCACCTATCATCCATCCATCTATCCATCCATCGGCAGATCTCTCTTTCTCCCTCTCTCTTTCTCCCTCTCCCTCTTTCTCTCTCATCTGTCTAATAATCTATCGTTTATTTCTTTATATTTACAACACATCTCTAATATCTTTTCATGTGTTTACACACTTGTTAATAGATTCCATTACACTCCCTGTTTTATTCCTTCCTCAGTGTTGATCACTAAGCATTCCATCTATCTTTTCTTTTGTTAAGATCCACACTAACAAAACTTGTTGTAGCCTAGTGATTCTAGAGGCTTAGCAGCCACGGTTAAAAGTCTTTCTTTAGTGGAGGGCAATTTTAGAATTCCTTTCTTGATAATAACCCAGGTCTCTGTCACAACTGAACTACACCTTGCCACCTTGCCACAGCATGGCCAAACTGTTCAGTGTTCATGAAATACAACAGACTTGGTGATTTTTAAAGAGGATATTTCTTTTGTCTTCCATTCTGTTATAAGATTTCCTGCCCAATGTTACAGAGGCTGTGAAGAAAGACAGCTTGTTTATTTGTAAATACACAAATTTCAATAGTCATTGTGCATTCACACAGCTGTACAACTTTCTCACAAGAGGCAGTGCTTTGATATAATCATATAGTTGGAAGGAGTCATTTTGGTCTCTGAAACCAATTACTTGCTCTGAATCAGAATCTAAATTGAAGCATTTTAAGCAGATAGCTGACCTTTGTTTAAATACATCCAAAGTAGGGGGGCCCATAACTTGACTTAACTAGTTCCCCTATTATAGGGCTGCTACTGTTACGAGGTTCCTTTCTATCATTCAATTGTAATTTGCTTTCCTATAATTTAATCTAATATTCTGTACTCTGCAGTCTGGAATCTTTTTCTCTGTGATCCCCTTTGAAGAATTTGAAGATTTCTTTTCAAGAATTTGAAGATAGCATATCTCAGGCATCTTTTCTCAAGCTTCAAATGCATAATTTCTTCAATTTCTTGTCACAACATTTTGTTTTTAATCCAATAATTAACTAGCAGAAGTTTGAAAATCACTGTGGTACAGGGACAAAGTTGACAAGAAAGGATTTCATTAGTGACATTGCCTGGATGACACATTCAAAGAAGGAGTATGTAGCATCTTAACATTTTTGGACAGAGAGTGAAAGCTGACTTTGGGATCCTTAGCTTGAGGCCACAACAGAAATATGCTTAAATTTTCAGACGATGCAAGCTGGAACTTTGAAATGGCCAACGTCCCACTAATTCCATCCAAAAAGAGAGGAAGTTTCTCTTCATCCATCCACCAATCTTGTGTTCATCATTTTCCATCCTGTATCCAAGTGCTTTATTTTATGTTCATATACAATGGTTCCCATTCTTTTGATCAGATTTGTATAGAGTATACATGTGTGTATGTGAAAATTTGCATTGGTATGTTTAATTTTGTTAAATAATACCTCTCATTGCTATCAAGGGATTTTTTTTGTTTATGCATATCCTAAAAGAATCTGTTCCCATCAATGTGTGAATATTGATTCCCTTATTCATTGTAGACTAGGATTTCCCTCAGATACAGGCTAAGGATAATCCTATGATTTAAACTGGGAAATGGGCAGCAAATAAACTTAATAATAAAAATTTAAAAATTATATGAATTTGGATATCTAGGGGAGGAGTGTAGCATGCATATAGCAACAGCACTTAGACTTATATACCACTTTATAGTGCTTTACAGCCCTCTCTACGTGGTTTACAGAGTCAGATATTTCCCTCAACAATCTGGCTCCTCATTTTACCCACTTGGAAGGATGGAAGGATGTGTCAACCTTGAACTTGGTGGGATTTGAACAGCTGATAGTCAGCAGAAGTGGCCTGCAGTGTCTGCGTGTATGACAGCTATTGGTTTGGTAGGCTATGCTGGGTTGTATTCCTGTGTTACATCTGTGGAGTATTATCAGGGCCATCTGGTACCCTCTTTCCTCTCCAGGTTACAAAGATCCTACAGATATCTTAATCTTTATAAGTACCCAAACTTCAAAATAAGGGATGTCATTAGTACAGCACAGCTGCTACAAAGAAAAATCAGAGCTAATTGCCAGAAGGAATTACCAAGAGAAATGTTAATAATATCCACCTTAACATGGATTTCATGATTATATAGAAATGTCACAAAGGACTGCCTTGCAATATCACAGCTCACTGCTGCCCCTCAAGTGCAAAGAAGTCACCTATCTTTACTCTTTCTAACCCAATGGAATACTGGAAAGAAATTATGGCTGCAGGATTAGGAGTCTGCCCATCAGCAGGATGATACTTATAATATGACCAAGTTTGGTTGTGTGGTAAGCGACAACTAAAGACACACTGAGTTTAAAAATTGGCCAGATTGGGCCAGGGGTTGTGGAAGAAAAAAAGATCCAGAAACATTTCTATAGGAAAGATAGTTGGGCATTAACTTGGAATATTGTCAAGTTCTCTGTTTAAAATTCCCTGTCCTCCTTCCTGGAGCATACAAAAGTGGTCAGACTCAATACAAAGCAAAAGAAGAAAGACATATTTAGACTTGGATGCAATATATTTTATTACACTTAAGAAAATACAGATGCCTTAATGACAACTTCTGGTAAAGGAGTTAAAAAGAATTCCAGATGCTACAATCTGGATGATTTCTTTCCCCTGCTATTCTTTCTAAATCAACAGAATATTGGAAAGCAATTTTGAAAGGAGTTAGAACTTTGAACATCCACCAATTTAACTCTCCTAAAACTGAACAGAATTGGATCAAATTTGGCGTGGGAGGCGATCTTGGCAAAATACAGATTGTGAACTAGATCAAATTAGGGTCTTCAATGAAAGAGATTCCTTAATGCATTTCTATGGACGATGCAGTTTTGCAGTGGATTGGAATATTGCCAGCCCCTCCAATCTAAGCCCCCTGCCTTTTGTCATATGTCCCCCACCTATCTTTCCTTTCCTTTCCTTTCCTTTCCTTTCCTTTCCTTTCCTTTCCT